AAAGGTGGTTAGGAGGGAGTAAAGGTGGATGGGCTCGTGGTGAGTGAGAGAGAGCTTGCTGATTCAGGGGGCTAACAGAAAAAAAGCTCACTGGGGTGAGCAGCCTCCCTCTAAATGAGGAGGTGCAAGGGCAGCTGGTGGAGCACACGTTGCTGTAGGAGAGCATGCCCTAGCAAAGCTGCTGTCTTGTGTCTCCCTCCCTTTTGACACCCTTCTTCATTTGTGGCAGCCTCAAGGGTCATCAGCCCTGGTGTTTCAGGGGCTGAAGGCCTCAGGAGGAGGAGGAGGAGGAGGAGGAATCCTTGTTACTGTGGGTTCTTCTCGTGTGGGAGCAGAATCTGTCTGTGGGAGTGCTGTTCCTTTTGATCCCTTAACTCAAGTGTCTCGTTGGTGCTACTGCATTCCAGTCCCCAAGCTCCAGAGCAGCCACGAGAAGAAACCAGCCACAGTCATTGAGAGCTTTATTCTACACAGCCCAAAGCTCAGTGATTCTGGGACATGTTCCTTTTGCTTCTTCTTGTCCCTTATGGTTGGCACTCTTAGGAAAATAAAGGGGAATTTTGTATTCAGACATACACCATGGTTTTCTTACAGAGCCTTTGGTGGAAATGCACAAAGCACATGTCATAAATCCTGTATGTGGATGGTGATCTCTGATCCTCAGCCAGCAAGGCTATGGCCTAAATACTGCATCTGAAGTAAGAACCTAAGTTTGGATGCTTTTTAAAATGATGATAGGAAGTACAGAACTCCAGGCTTGCATTATGGATTCTGTCTCCAGCAGTGTATGGGAGGAAACATTTGACATCACTAAGTATTTCCTCTGGAATTAAATCATATTTGCAAATTTATACAGAATTCATGGTGATGTTTAGAGCGTGTTAATGAACAGGTGGTGAAATGGGTTTCATTCTTCTGTTTAACACCAGTGAAGAGAGTCACAGCATTCACAGCTTCATACTGGGAAAAAAACCACCCAGAACAGGCAGCCCAGCAGAGCAGTAGCACAGCACTGCCCACAGACCATGGCAAGCAGCTCAGTGCTTCACCCAATAGCCTTTGGATTCCTTTTGGCTTTGCCTTAACAAGACTCCAGAAAGAAGCTATGGCAATCCCTTCCCCAGGGCAGGCCTGTGTGATGGCTGTCCTGGGGGTGGGTGTGTTGCAGGTCCAGGACAGGCTGTTTGACCTGGTGTCTCCACCCTCACTGAAGCTCTCTTGCTCTTGCAGACACTCCAAGCACAACGTGCAGTTACAATTTAGGGCAGGCTCTTTTGGCTGCCAGAAGTCTTCTGCTGAGTGCCTGCCACAGAGCTTTTGGTTTCCCCAAAACCCACTCAGCTGAGTATTTAAAACTGTTGTTTTCTGTGGCTCCCATTGGCCAGTCTGAGCATCACAACCAAGAGCAGTGGAGCCTGCTGGCATCAGTAATATCCTGTAACATGAGTCAGGCCAGTAAGTCATCTTTTATTCAAGATGTTGCCTGAGAGTTCCTTAAATCTATGGTGTCATTGGCTTTTCCAAACCAATACATTCATATTAACCAGGTTACTTTAAGTAGTTACCAAGCCCTGGAGCACAACAAAGAATTCTCTCTCTCTGCTGGTAAATCTTTTGGCTGGGCATTTATTTGTCACTTCAGGATAACTGGGGAGCTCCTTGCATGCAGAGCAGCCCTTCACCTGCCAAGGACTGGTGGGCTTTCCTGGGGCATTGCTGTCTAGAGTGATGCTCAGGCTCTGCCACATCTGTACCAACAACCCATTGCTTACAGAAATTACCAGTTTCTGGCTGGTGCTGATTACATCCCTCTGAACAGGGAGCCAAATAAATAAGGGAATAATTAGGCTGTAGCAAACGTTGTGGAGATAGCCAGGAAATTGCTACCCTGAAATTTCACTGTGAAATTCTGCTTGCTGCTACCACTCGTCTCCCACCCACAGTGCTGATTTCCTCAGGTCTGGGACTGGTTCTGTACAGAACAAAGGAAAAACCCCTTTTGGAGCAGCTGCTGAACTCTGCCTGCATTGCTTGTTGCTGTCTTCTTAGTGCAGCTGTAGCAGAAAGAGGCAGTTCAGCCTCCTGAGCCTCAGTTGTGTTTGCTGGGTGGTATGGCCATCAGCAAAGCCTCGTCTGACTGGTGGCAGCAGTTCCAGTTCCCATGTGGCAGCTCTCAACAGTGGAGCTCCTGCCTTTCAGCTGCTGTGGTCTCCTGGGAATTTGGAAATGGTGGCAGATACCTACAAAGTTAGCTGGGGCTGTGCCAGGGGTGGTTTAGGCTGGATGTTAAGAAAACTTCTCAATGGAAAGGGTTATGAAGCATTGGAATGGGCTGCCCAGGGGGGTGGTGGAGTCCCCATCTCTGGAGGGGTTTAAAAGGTGTCCCTCAGCACCTCATCTGTACAGGGGTTAGTGGTGGGCTTGGGTAGCGTTAGGTTATGGTTGGACTTGATGAGCTTAAAAGTCTTTTCCAACCAAAATGATTCCATGATTCTGTGACTGGGATGCAGAGTGTGATGGGCAGAGGTGGGGACAGTCGTGAGCTCCTCCCAGAGCAGCCCAAGCTCCAGGCTGGTGGCCCCGAGGAGCTGGGAGCTGCCCCGTGCTGTGCCAGCAGCACAAAGGCCTCTCTGGAGCATCACTGGTGGTTTAAGTGCTGCACAAGCCCCACCTTAAATTCACACCTCGGTGTAGAGCTCTTTTAAAGCTGCCATGTGCTGCTGCAGGCTGGAGGAGGACACCTGAGTGCTGTCTCCAGGTCCTGCCTCCTGTAGCTGGGACACACCTCCAGGAAAATGTTAGTTAGAGACCAGAGGACAGCCCTGGTTATTTGTTTATGGATGTTTCCCTTCCATGCTTTTGTAGCTGACCAGGATTAAGGCTCTTCCAAGCTAACATGTGAGCCTTTTGTCAACCTTTTCCTTCCCTGGCAATTGCACCAAGCTGCCACTCCAGCTGAATGCTGAGTTCTGTCTTATTTTGCCCTGGTTTGTTCACTCCCTTCTGTTTTTCTTCCCCATGTTTGACATGTTGCAATGTTCCAGAGTGAATTAGTGGGCTTTTTTTTTCTTTAAGAAAACAAAGTTTCGAGGCAGGCAGTAGTGTTTGTGTATTCTGCTATCGTGGGTGGCCTTCCCTTTGCAGGGGTCCTTGGAAGAGGAAGAGAACTTCCCTGTGGCTGCTGTTCTCCAGGGCTGCAGAGGCTGGGGGTGCTTGTTTGCCTCTGCAGCTTTCGTGTTGCTTTGATTTCCAGTCCCTAGGAGCAAATTAAAGCCTCCAAACAGCAAAACGTAAACCAGGAATTATTTTTGCACCAGAAAGGATGTGTTAACTTCTGAGTGGGACCGATAGCTCGAGAGTTACTGTGCAGAAAGGAGGAGCTGTTGTTCCTTTGGGGTGTGATGTGTACAGTGTGTGTTTTGCTCGCAGGGCAGAGCTCCCACAAACGGCTGGGGGGCTGTTTCTGTCCATGGGACACTTCTCTCTGGGTGTTCATTGAGATGGAGGTGCCAGTCTAAGTGCCAGTTGTGCTACAGCACCTCGGTCACGCTGAGGATTGTTTCTCATGTCAGGGATCTGTGGATTTCCCCTTAAACATTCAAAGGTGCTGAGCCTGCGGGGTGAGCTGGTCGGTAAGCTCAGCACTGTGGGTTCTGAAAGGCACGTGTCCACTGCAGGCACAGCAGTGCCCCTGACCAGCCCCTCTCAGCTACATTCTGACAGGATTAAAGATGCCACTGAAGCTGCAGATGCTGGAACAGCACCAGGCTGCAAAAGCTTCCCAATTCGAGTCCCTCAACCCAAAAGACTTAACACAGCTCAAAGAAAATCGTGAATCAACAGAACAGGATGTGAGTATATGATACCAAATAACCTTTAGGACTCACACCAGCCCCTTTCCCTGGGGAACGTGGAGTTTGACAGTGGCCGTGCTTGCTGAGGTGAAAGAACTGAGCTGGCTGTGTGGCTGAGAGGCAGTTTCCTTCCAGAAGTTTATTGAATTGAGCAGTTACTGAACACTCTCAGTGCTGGACCTGATTTTTAAGACCTAAAAGAAACACAGTCCAGGAACTCCAGCGTGCATGCAGAGGTGCAGAGGAGGCAGTTTGTATCCTGTTTATCAGTAAGGGATGACACATGGGGTGTGCTCTAGAAACTGGATGCCCAGATGAATTCACATTTCTCTGTAAACTCCCCAAAGTGAGTTAACAGCAGTGTGTTTCTGGAGTGCTGCTGCACGGGTGGTCTGAGAAGACTCCAAAACTGTGCATTTTGCAGCAGACTGTTGGGATTGTAGGTAAGTGTGTATGTATCATCATTTGACTTGCAAATAAATCCCAGGATTCTAGAGGTTTGTGTCTCAGGTGTGATTGTTTCCCCAAGTAAGTTTCTGGAAGCTGATATTTGATTTTTCTTGTGTTGCTGACTCACTATGTGATGATTTAGGCTCATAATGCTGCAAATTCAGCTGAGAACAGGCGTGTCTGGAATTAGTTGCTCCACTGTCCTTGTCTGTTATCTTTTTAGAGCTGTAAATCTGTAGAGGGATTTGGAATAAAACTGATGAATAGCCATCTGTGATCTTGCTGCTGGTTTTATTTAAATAATATGTGTTTGAGATTCTCTTTGCTTCTCCTGATGGAAAAAAAATAAAGCCAGTGTATTATGGCTTACGTGGAATAGATACAGCCTCTTACAGCAACATGAGCATGGAGTCTTACACAGCCAACTGAACACAAAACTTATCTTCACTGTAATCTCTTAGCTGTAATAAATTCCAGTAATAACAATCCTGAACTTTATTTGTCCTTTCTCAGCAAAGGCTGGGCTGGGGGTGTGGTTTGTGCACGTGCTTGGAAATCAGAGGACAGATCCGAACTTACCAACACGCCGTCAGAGCTGAACTGCTGGTGGGAAGTTGAGTTATGCTTTGCCCTCACTCTGTCTGACCTCACTCCCCGAGCCCTGTCTCAGGTGTACCTTTTCCTCTTCCAGTGACTATGTGGGCAGGCTGCTGCAACTGGTTCTGCCTGGATGGCTCACCCGAGGAGATGCAGGCGCCGGCGCCGGGCGCAGCCCGAGCCTACTCCAACCCTGGGTACAGCTCCCACCCCTCTCCCAGCACCCCCGAGCAGAGCTGCGCCGCCTGCGGGGTGCCCCTCCACAGCTCCGTGGGCAAGGTGAGTTTGGGGACCCCTCCTGGCACCCCGAGACCCCAAAGAGCCTGGGGAGAAATGGGAGCGTGCACCTCGGAGCCCTCTGTGGAGGAGCTACCCCAGAGGAACAGCTCAGCTTTGCTTCCTGCCTTTAATCCTTCTGCAGTTAGCAGGCATGGCTAAGGAGGAGTAGAGGTGTGGTAACCTCCAGGAGACCTGGCTCTCCCAGGTGCTGAAAACCCAACTGCTTGTCATCATCTAAAGGAGCATTAGCCTGAGCATCTAGGTCCCCAGATAATTGTTGCCACAAGACTTTTAATTAGTCATCAAACGCTGCCTGGGACATTAATTGGGCCTGGCGGTTCCTCTCATGCTGCTTGGGAAATGTTTTAGTGGGGAAAGCTGTTTAGTAACACTCTGTGGCTCAAGAAGCCTCTTCTATATGTGGCATGTTACTCAGCTTAAGAATGTGAGAACTTAATTGTGGTAAATTTTGGCCACAGCCCTTTTAGATGAGATGGGGAAAGTCACAAATTGGTCTTTCTTACACCTTTTTATTCCTACATGAGCTTTCTGCTCACAGAACATTGGTGCATTTTTGCACTGAGAAGTGTTGTACCAGAAACCACTAGAAATGTCCATCTTGGTAGTAGATTTTGGGGGTGGGGTATATATGGTAATGTATTTTGGGTGTGTAAGTATGCTTAGACTTTTCTGATGGGAGGAAGGTTCTGGGTGAGCTGGGTGTGACTCTGGATGGAGTTGTCTTCAATGCTCTCCTTGATGGGATGTGTCTTCACAAACACTTGTGGAAGGACTTCTGGATCCAGTGCTGACTAGTCTGTGTAGCAGCAAATAGTGGATGTAGATGGTTCTGCTTTTGATATGAAAACAATTCCCCCAGTGAAGTATGGGCTATATAGTAGCAGTGTTAGAACCATATTCCCATTTTTCTCAGTATCTTCCAAAATGCAGCTGCTGCTATCAGCTGTCTGTAAAGCAGTGTCTGGTCTGAGGGTCAGCAGTACTGCCTGGGGGGGGCTGGGTCCAGCTCTGGTGTGCAGTTTGTGGGGGCTCTGCTGGAGCAGTTTCAGAGGTTTCTGCCCCCAGCAGACTTCCCACGTTCCTGCTGGAGCTGTGGGTGTAACTGGGGCAGCAGAGTACAGCCTGTGCTGGAGCCTCAGCTGCTGCCACTGGGTGCAGCCTGAGGTTTGTTCTGCCTGGGGAAGGGGCTCCTGAGCCTTCCCCCTGCCACCACAGCTCCTGAGCAGTCATCTCTGGGGCTGGCTGGTGGCTCCAGGTGGCAAAGCTCAGTGCAGGGAGGTCTCTTAGATGGTTCACCAGTCCTGGGGCTCCAGGAGAGAGCTGAACACACAACTTAGGAAACACTGACAGGTTCTTAAGCCACGTTAATTCCTCATGCTGTTGATATGGACTGGGAAGTGTATGACATTTAACTGTTGCCATGAGATCATGCAAAACTCTGCTTTCTGCCCTAGGAGGGGCAATACCTTTGAACTGTAGTGTCCAGTTAATGCTTTTACTGAAATACAATAGATAAAAATTAGTTCCTTCCACACTGGTGGCCACAGGATTAACCTAGATTGCTTTAAAAAAACCCCAAACCTACAAATAAAACCCCCCAAAAGCAGAATGATGGTATCTTAAGTACTCAATCTTTTGTCATAGTTGTATGTTAACTGGCATATAACAGCACCTACTAAAAGGATGAGGGTAGGGGACGTTTGGGTGCTTTTAAGTAACTCTTGGATCCATCTTTAAAAGATATAAATTTAAATGTGGTAGCAAAAATACAATTAAAAAAAAATGTTTTCCTTCTCTTAGATGATTTTTTTTTTTATCTTGGTTTTCTGCAGCAAACAGATTCCACAGAATCTTCTAACCAAGCACTCTGCTGATAGCAGGCTGTGGCAGGCACTCTGGGTGGCTGTGTCAGATTGTTGTCCCTCCCTCCCTCCCCTGTTTTCTCATTTCAGTGCCTTAAATTGGCTGACATCTTCAGGAAGATGCTTTTCCCTGAGGACTTACAGACAGAGCTCTTGGCAAACTAGAGTGCAAGATTTAAAACCCCCTCAATAACAGTAGCCATAGTGAAAGCCTGAATGTTGGCATCTCTTGATCTTTATCCTGGATGCAGGTTTTAATTTACAGCAACACTGGAAACTCATCCTTCTGAAGGGACTGGTGTCTTCAATCCTTGCCCTTTCAGTCAGAGTTCAACAAATCTATCAAAGCTGCAAAAAGCTGTTTAATAGTGAGAGGTGACAAACAGTTCCTGTGCTTGTTTACACCCTTGATGCTCAGAGACAGGCTGGGGGATTTTTTTTTCCTCCTCTGAACTGGAATCCACGCAGTGAACTGATAAACCAGAGACACACCTGGTTTTATTTTGACTTCTCAAATGTATCGTTTGATAACTAAGGCAGACTCCTGTTATTACTGTTAATTGCTTGTGAAAAAACCATGTTGGATACTGCAGCCCTTGTGCTGGGCTACCTAAAGGTGTGAGAACTGGGGGGGTTCTGGCTGGAAGGTCCTCAGCCATGCAGTGGTTCCCTCTGGAGCCAGAATGGCATCTGTGGGGCACAGGGGGGGTCCCTGTGCCACAGCAAAGCAGGATTGTAGTTTATGGGCAAGGTTTAATTAGGTTTTTTTTCCTCCCTCTGTTCTTTTGATGGCTCCCCTGTCAGAGATGGGTGGCTGAGAGAGGGAAGGGGTTGTCAGTGGGGTTATTTTCCCTTACTCTGCCTTTGTGGAGGGTTTGTTCCCCTGCCCTAGACACCTGCACAGCCAGAAGTTCCTGTCTCTGCCCTGCAAATTTCCCAAGAAACTGGGTTGCTCTTGGCAATCGTAGAGTGAAGAAAGTCAGTCCCATACAAATGGTTTTTATAATGATCAGGTTAAGAAGAACTTCTCAAAGCTGAATGGTATGTGGAAATTGCCCTTCCTGTCTTGGTTTGTGATTGAAAGTCACTTTTACTTGGCAGCCCCTCAAACAGCAGTTTTGTGATGAGGTTTCATGTTTGCATGACCAGAGGTTCTCTTTGTGGTAGAAATTTTTACGTCTTAAAACTCTAAGGCAGGAAATTGTGATTCTTTCCACTGCCTGTCATTAGGAGTCTATCAGAGGGTCTAAATGAGAAGCCTGCCAGTTATAATTGTAAGGGGGGGTGTGGGGCAAGGGGGCTGCCAGGCTGGAAAGGGGATCAGAAGGGGCTTATGTGGTGTGGTCACACCTTTTAAAACATGAGACACGTCTGCTTTCTTTGAGCTGTGAAGTTAAAAATGTTCTTCAATCACTAAAAGCAATTTATGAAACTATTTTTTTTGTCCCTGAGCTTGTGTTTGTTGCTTTTCCAACTTCACATGTGTCTTTTTCCTCACGTAGCTCTGGAGAGTAGGGATGTCAGGACTGCACAGAGCTGCTCATCTTCTCTGAGACTGTGAATTAGCATTTTTAACCAGCACTGAAACCAGTTCTTTCTTCCCTCAGGACTTTTTAAAAGACACATAATGTGGCTGTTCTGCTGCTATTCCTATTGGAAAATGTAGAATTTGACTTTCCAAAGTGTTGAACAGACAAGTTTCTGCAGAATTCACCATGGACTGGGAGTGCTTGGAGCTTCTGAAAGTCGAGCCCTGAGTGACAAGACCAGAACAGAATGAGATATAAACATTAAACAGAATTTAATCTGTAAAGTTTTGAAACATCTGGGGCCTAACGTTCCCAAAACTTCCAACACTTTGTCTAGCACCTAACTGGCACACAGCCTGCCTGTTCTTTTCAAAATAAGCTGGCTATTTTTGTTGCCTAAATATATGTCTGTCAGACACTGTAAGGCCTCGCTGTTTCCTTTGCCTAAAAAGATCCTTTTAGTGACTGCAGCAAATTAGAGAGGAAAAACTGGGGTGATGGTCGTGTCAAATCATAGCAAGTACTAAGTTTCTGAAATTAGAGAAGTGTTTTTAAGTAGCTCCCTCCAATGCCAGAGTTCTCCTAATGTGTGGAGCCATCTGTCATTGTTTGATAAACAATGCACTGCTACCTGTGATGGACTGGAGAGTCTCAGAGAGATCTCCTCATTTCATCTGGGGCTTCAACTGGATGAGCAGGTCCAGAATAAGGTGCAATAAACTCCTGTCATTTGAGGGAATTGCCTAAGAATATAATATTCCATTCTGGGGAGATGGAGTGTGAATAGTGCTTTTCCAGCAGCTGGGAGGGATCCAGTGATCTGCTCCTGGGATCAATCCTTTTCCTCATCCAGGCACGAGTCACACAGTTGGCACTTTTTCATACATTAGGTTTTGGTGGTGGTTGAGCAGAAGCTGCTTTGGCCTGCAGGTGGTTGGGGAGCCCTGCCTGCCGTTGGGGGGTGCAGGTCGTGGTGGGGAGGTTTGATTCCCTTCCCTTCTCTTTACCAGAACGTCTGCTTGGACTGTAAGAAGAACTTCTGCACGTCCTGCTCGAGCCAGCCTGAGGCTGGTCCCCCCCTGTGCCACCTCTGCCAGCGCTTCCGAGCCACGGCCTTCCAGAGGGAGGAGCTGATAAAGATGAAGGTGAAGGATCTGAGGGACTATCTGGCACTCCACGAGGTCTCCACAGAGCTGTGTCGTGAAAAGGAGGACCTGGTGTTTCTGATAATTGGCCAGCAGCCTGTCATTACCCAGGAAGATCAGATAAGAACAAACCCATTTAATACGAGTGCCTCTGGACAGCAAGACTTTGTAATTCTCCCACCGACCAGCACAGCATCTTCTACCTCACTTGATGAGTCTCCAGTGTCTGCAGATCCCATCTTGAGCTCACTAGCTCAGGAACATGAACAGGTACTGCCAGAAGCACCTTTTGCAAGCTCACTCATCTTTATTTCTGCATTAATTACTAAGGTGTTGCATGAGGTTTTCCAAGTAGATAATGTGCCAGAAAGGTTTCATGTTAAAGATGCCTCCTTAAAAAGCAAAGAGGCTTCTGTTTGGAGCAGATGACAAAACACTTCAGTTGCATTTTACACATGCTCTTCTCAGTCTTGTTTTTAAGATTGAAGTGAGGATCTTACACTTTCTTAGAGAATAACTAGGAAACTAAGAGGAGTTATGTTACACTGGCTTGCTGTGGAGAACAGACTTGCTGTCACCAGCTTTGATGGGCTCTTCCCTTCCCACACCAGTGGAGTTTAATGTGGTGGGCAGTGCTGCATAGATTGAACGTTCACTTGGAGAACACCATCACTGCTTTGGGATGTTTTCCCTGGTGCTCTGCTGCACACTTGCAGTTGCCACGAGATCCTCCTGGACGGGTTCCTCTGGTGGGTGTGGCTGTGCTGGTGCACAGACCTGTGTGGGGTGTGACATGGGTACCCCTGCTCTGCAGTCTGCCCGTGAGACAGCAAGCAGGGTTTAGAGCAGTTCTGGAACTGGCACTGATGAGAGAGGCAGTTGTGAGCCAGGTGAGGTCTTTGGTGTCTCCTGCACTCAACAGAAGACAAGACTTGAGTCTGTTGGTAAGTCGTGATGATGGATCCTGTGGTTCTGACAAACCTTGGCCAGGGCATTTGAACTTAATTATTTTTTTTTATTGACTTTGCTTTGTTTGTCTTCCTGCTATCTGCTGTGGGAAGTTTACTCAGTGTCTGACATCTGCTCCTCATCCTGTCACAAAGGGAACAGTGTTTAGCTCCTGTGGAGCAGAGCTGTGGAAGCATATGTACCTCCTGCCTCCTCAGCAGACCTCTCCAGTACAAAAGAGGAGTTTTCCTGGAGGGACAGTTTTGTAAAAATCATTAAATGGCTTGTTCATTCTCTGGTTTTCTGGACATTCCAGTTTTTATCAGCAAATTCAGCTCTGCTCTCTTCCCTTACTGCCCCATGACACATTCCAGCTTCTTGCCTCACACCCTGCTCCAGTTCAGGCTCTTTCCTTATTAGTGTTATTCTTTTGCTTTGTAAATATTAACAAGTCACCACTTAGATAAGCAGGATGGTAACAGCACAACCTCCTTAGTCAATAGGGAAACCTCAGAGGACAACTGGGACACGATGGTGAGAATGACACTGCAGTGCTTTTCTGTGAAGTGCTCAAAGCACCTGCCCCTGCTCATTCTCCAGCCTCATCACTGCTGCTCCTTCACGTGGTAGCTCCTTGGTCCAGTCCAGAACCCACCTGAGGAGCTGCCTCTGTGTGGGTACTTGGAAGATGACCTGTAGACTTTGTGCTGTATGGCAGAGGAGCCTTGTACAGAGCCTTGCTGTGCCAGCAGAGCTGGGGGGTCACACTGCAGTGCTCTGGTGAAGGATTACAGACATCTGTGTGCAGCTCTACACACATTTCATCTGTCCTCCTCCTGATCCAGCCTCACAAGAACAACACCTGGGATCCTACTCTGCAAGTGCTCTGTCAGGCTTTAAAGAAAATGGGGCTTTAAAGGGTCAGATGCTGCATTTCAGTTTCAAAAATTTTACTTCTTTAAAGTTTGTTTGTTTATTTATTTTCAAAGTGAAGGTTTTTTTAAGAAATCCCTCCTGCAAGTGTAACCTCACCGTTCCCTTCTGGAGGGCTTGAGTTATGCTGAACTACTGAGTTTATGCACACAGGGAGGTTTGGTGGTGTTGAAAGCTTTATTTCCTCTTCCAGGCAAATGGTTACGTGCCTCCAAGCCCAGCTGCTGTGACAGGAGGTGAGAATGCAGCAGAAGCACCAGTGGAGGAGGAGACCCAGGTTTGTGTGTCCTGGAATGAGGTGACCAGGAAGACCAGGTGTTGTAGGCTGTATTCACTGTCACAGAGTCATTACTGCCAGACAGGAATTCAGCCTGACCACCAGCAGACCCAGTCAACCTCTTTATTTTTTGGCATCATCTTGTCCACATATAGAAAGAACTGGTGTCACTTGGACACTGTCATAATAGAAGTTATTTGTTTACATCCTGGGACTTCTGTTCCTTATAGATGGAGGAATTCAGAGTAATCCGTTATACGTGCACCGGAAAGTGAATTCCTGGCAGCACACGTTTTGAAAGCAGATTTAAGGTGTAGTGCTAGATGCTGAGGACAAGAATCATTCCACCTTCGTTCCTTGCAGTCCACGGACTCGGAGGATAACCTGGTGCAGGGGAGGAAGGCTTCTCTCTCTGACCTGAGGAGCGTCGGGGACATCAGCGCGCTCTCCGTGCGGCAGCTGAAGGAGATTCTCGCTCGCAACTTCGTCAACTACAAAGGCTGCTGTGAGAAGTGGGAGCTGCTGGAGAGGGTGACTCGTCTTTACAAGGAGAAGGACCTTCAACATCTAGGTAAGGAACCTGGCAAACAGGGGCCTCTTTTCCAGGTTTTCCCTTTTGGCAAACAGTTGCGGAAGGAGATAGATAGATAGATAGATAGATAGATAGATAGATAGATAGATAGAATTTAAGTTTCTGTTCTGTGCACTGAGGAGGAAGGGGGAGTGTCATGCACTGAGAGTGAACACAGCTGGGCTCTCCTCACCACCCCATGTGTGTGCTCAAGAGCAGAGCGTTGTGGTTGCTCTGGGGAGGGACTTCCCTGGGCTAGCAACAAACGAGCCCCGTGTGCCCTTCACCTCGGGGCTCTGTGGAGCTGTGGAGGATCTCGGGGCTCTGGGGCTGTGGAGGATCTCAGGTGCTCTGTGGGGAGGGTCTTGGGGCTCTGGGGCTTTGGAGGATCTCAGGTGCACTGTGGAGCTGTGGAGGATCTTGGGGGTCTGTAGAGCTGTAGTGGATCTTGGGGCTCTGGAGAATCTCGGGGCTCTGGAGCTGTGGTGGATCTCAGGGCTCTGTAGAGCTGTGGTGGATCTTGGGGGTCTGGAGAATCTCGGGGCTCTGGAGCTGTGGTGGATCTCAGCGTCTCTGTGGAGGATCTGGGGGCTCTGTGGAGCTGTGGAGGATCTGGGGACTCTGTGGAGGATCTCAGGGCTCTGTGGAGGATCTGGAGGATCTGGGGTCCCTGTGGAGGATCTGGGGGCCCTGTGGAGGATCTGGGGGCCCT